ACCTTAATCCCCAACATGAAAGTCTGCCAACCACATTAGAAATCTGGGCCATGCCATGGTGTATTGCGGTGTCCTGAAGGACATTGAAGCTTTGTGGTCATCTTCAACACCTGGCTTTCTGCTGGTGGGGCTCCTGAAACACCAAAGGGCCTGGGAAGTGTGTTGGATGTTTTTCAGGGTGGTATTGCCATTGAGCAACTGCCAGGATGCTCCAGGGTAGTGTCTCGGGGGTGGTCCTCTGTGCAGGTGGCACAGCATCCCCATACAGACCGGTGCCCAGGGCACCCTGCCCTTTACCTGCACAGGTTGGCAAGGGCTCTTGGTCAACAGGGATCCAAGGTGTTGGAGTTTACCTGCACTGAACAAACCCGTCAAGAACGTGTGATTTTCTGGAGACCGTGTGATGAGTAAGAGGTGTGACAGACTTTCTTCTTTGAGTTTGCTTGGCAGTGCCAGTGAAGTTCCCACCCAAACCTTTCAGGGAGAGGGTGGGTTTTGCCTGTGGGACATTTTTGCACCAAGTTGTCCTCTCTGTCTATTTTCAGAGAGCTTGAACAAAACATTGCTGTCCCCCAAAACAAATGCTTAGATGAAGCAATGAAATTTGATCTCCGTAACACTGGTGAGAATATTCCATGACAAGATCTACCAAATAAAGTCCACCTTGTGTGTCTGTCTTCTGGCAGGACCATCCGTCCCAAAAACACCAGGGTGACTTTAGTGCAGGTAAGGGAGACCCTCCCTCTGGAGTTGGGGTCTGCAGGCAGTAGCAATGCTAGTACCAAAGCAAGACGAACAGTTTTGTGATGGAAGTTCATTTATGAGAGCATCAACCACCTTCTCCGAAAAGCAGGCTGCTGCTACTGTGTCCTGGGGCGATGGGGGCTGTCTCAGGGGAGCTCTCCCCCAGTATCGGCAGCAGATGCCTTGGCTCTCTGATGGGCATTTGCAGAGGAGGCGTAAGCAGCATTTGCTGGAGCTGCGCCGCAGGACTCGCTCACGCATGGCTAATGTGCCCAGGGAGCCCAAGTGGATGCATGGGAGGAGGAAGAGGAGGAGGAGGAGGGCTGGCTTCGGCAAGCATGGAGTCAGCTATGTCTCCCAGCCCCTGCAGGGACACGGGCTCTACCTGACCTCAGCCGAGCCCCCTGCTATGGGCCCGTCTGGAGGGGGCTGCGGGGTTCCCAGCATCTGCTTTTCCAGCTACCGTTTGGAAACCAGGTAGGAGAACAAAGTCCAGCCCAGAGCTCGATCTCCCTCCCCTTATTCTGCTTCACATGCTGTCTCCCATCTGGGAGATGATCATGGTATTAAATTAATTTAATACATGGTGTTCAGAATTCCCCTAATTAGAAGGTTTTGCTCAAATTTTAGGAAAGTGTCAGTATTTGTGAGGTATCAGCAAGCATAAACGCAAAAACACTAGCTTAGGTAATCGCTCCAACCCAAAAAACTGGAAAGGAGAAAAATCAGAGTGTGTATGTTTGTGCGTGGGGAAGAGGAGTCTTTCTGCTGTTCTGGGTTTCCATTTTCCTTCCTCTTTTCCTTCTCCTTGGTCACTGGTGCCTGAGCTGCATTTTCAGACATAGGGAATTCCTGATAGATTAAGGATATTTTCCAAAATTAAATATATTTAATCTCAAAACCAAGGGAGAAGGAAGAAGCAGATTGCTCTGAGTACTGACGATGCCTTCTCCGAGCACTCTCCCAAAAGGCAGCTGCATTTAAAAGGCCTATTTATTCTGCAACGGGATCATCATTCGGAAAGCTCTTAACTGGCTGTTTTGGGGCAGATCAGAGCCGGGCACCATGCTCCCCACCCTGCAGAGCTCCCCTTGGTGCAGTGCAAAGACATTTGACTGCTCCCCACGATGGCTGCACATGGGAGGATGCTGGTCCGGTCCTCTGCCTGCAGTTGCCCAGGCATGACGCTCAGCAAAGCCTCACTTGGCTCGCTGTGCACCTTCCATTTTGGGGCCAAACTTGACACTTCTGTCTCCTAATGCTGTGTCTTTGACCTCTGCAGGGCTGCACCTGCTTTGTATTGGGTTGGAGCTGGGCTCTGGATCTACTCTATCAACTGGACTGGATTTAATGGTGTCCTCAGGGCTTTCAAGTAGATGGACAAAGAAGCCATTTCAAAGCTGCTGTGAACTAGGCGGAATACGACGGTGAAGAGGAAGGGTCCGAGATGGGTCTCTCTCCAGGCAGGGAATGCTCTGAAATGCTCAAAATGGCGTTTGGGGGATAATTTTTCCCAGCCCTTTGTCCGTGAAGAATGAGGGCTGTGGGGGGGAGGCACGCGCCCAGGGTAAATGCCTTGGCTCTATTGTTCCCATCATTTCCATTGAGCTTATGAACCCCCATATAAAAGACTTACCTTTCACTAGTATGATTAAGAAAAGGCCAATGTAGCTCTCCCGCTCACTGGAGCATGAAGCGTGTTTAATTTAATAATGCTGATAAATCTTAAAGCCAGGAGCATTTGACTAACACATGACCCACTTTTTCAATCAATTGGAAACATTTACATAACAGCCTGATGCAGGGTTCCTCCTGTGAGGGATGTGGAGCAAGGGATGGCAGACACCCCTGCCATAAGCACTGCCACTGTAGGGCATTTGGTGAAAGTAAAATGGCGAATTTGGCCGGTCTTTGGTGGGAAAGTCATGACCCACCTCTTTGGGACTGCCAGCTCTCCCGCGGCCGCAAGGATATGCCTGGGTTTAGAGCACCCCAGCCACCCAGCTGGGCTTTGGGGTCCATCATCCCGGTGGCAAAGCCCAGACCACTCTAGGGTCCCACCCTTGCCTGCCAGCTCCCAGCCGTGGGTCTGGCACCCTGGGCTGTTAGCTGCCTGGGCCACCACACTTGGGCAGCTTGCAAAAGAAAGCCTTTGGGGTGGTATGCGGGGCAGGATGGCTTTGTGAATATTGCCTCTTCAAGTCATGAAAGCCACTGCCTGTGGATACACCTTGACCATCAGCTGTGAAAAGCCTCTACCTTCCTCTGGCTGTGCTGTCAGAGGATGCTTATCAGCCAGGAAGGGGAGCTGCACCTCTGTGTTGGCACATACCAGCCTCGTGGCTGGCTGCAGTGGTGTCGTGGCTTTGTTTCTTTACCCACAGCAGGGCTAGATTACTCCTGGGACAGGTCATCCCTGGGGATGATTGTCCCCCTGTACAGTGGGGGCACCTCTTCCGTGAAGGCACTTTATCTCCTGGCACATCAGGAGCACCAGCAACGCTGACCTTCACAAATCAGCACGTTGATCCTTTTCAGCATTGCTTCTCATGCACAGAAATCAGCACAGCGTTAACCAACACAACCAGTTATTTATTTTCCTTTATTGTTTGCTTGCCATGGGCTCAGTCTTGAAAGAGAAAGTTCCTGATCTCGTACATTGTGCTATCATGTGTCAGCCCATTCCCATTACTCTGGTCCCTAACATCATCACCTTCTTCCTCTGAAATATTCTCCTCCTCCCCACCCTCAACAGTGCCTTTTGGCTTGACATCTTCAACACATTTCATTTTTATCCTCCTTGTGAGGATTTTACTTTTTTTCAGTTGTAACATCCAGCAGCCTCAAGATCAGTGTTTGTAAGTAGGTTATAAGCAACCTCATTCCCAGTGAGCTGGTGTCCTGTTAGCTCAGTAGGAGCACCGCCTCCCTCCCAACTACACAGGTTTTATCTATTTGGGGTTTCATAATAACCTCTTGGAAGAGGTTTTACATCAAACCCATCTCCCAGCCATGATTTGTGCATTGCTGCATGTTTATTCATCCCGACTGCCTCTTTGCACTAAAGTAATACTTGAGAACTGGTTTACTCCCCATTTTTTGGTCACATAAGTCCATAAGTCCTATGTGAGCAAACGAAAATGCCAGATGCTCGTGACCTGGACGAAAAATCTCCTATCTGATATATACTGAGGGATTAAATAACATGGGGGAGAATTGCTACAAATCTCTCGGCATTGCACATGAAGGATGCTGGCACCTCCTTCTGAGACAGGACTGGTCTCCCCATACAGTAGGCTGCAGAGACATTTCATATGCCGGGTCCTCGCCCAAAGATGCTACTAAGGAGGCATCAGGAAAGAAAAAGGAATGATTTGTTGCTGTTCTGTGATTTTTTTCTTCCCCTGCCTTCAAAACATCAGTGGCGGTTTTCCCTCTAGAGGGCAGAGGAGGAAAGAAAGAGAATGGGAAGGGAAAGGAACATGACAGCACGGGGAAAACTCGCACTGGTTTTGTAAGATACATGCAAAGCATGAATGGCTGGAAATGGCGTGGTCCTGAGACACAGTGCCCAACTAGGGTGCTCACAAGTCAGGATGAAAACCCAGGTGTGTAGCAACTGGGGCACCAGCTCCATCCTTCCTGCTCTGTGCTCCTGGGGTTGGATAGATGTTTCTTGGTTCCTGAAAAACTGGCTTTTGATTTTCTGAGGGCCCACACTTGAAATGGTGAATTTTGGTTTGCTAGATAGGTGCCCTGAGTCTTTTAAAGTCCCAGTTCAGCCACTGGTCTTTGGCCAGGCTGCTCTGCTGACTCCCTGCTCCTGCGTCCACATGCTCAGCTGGGCACAGCTGCTTTTCAGCTCATGCAGGTGTGGGCTAGCCATCTGGCTGTGCCACCTCGGACACTTAAGTCTTTGCTCCCACAATGGCTTTTGCGTAAAGCTGCTGGCAAAGCCATGGCAGAGCTACAGGCTGTTCTCAGGCTGTCACCCAGTACCGTCCCTGTGGCGAGCAGCCAGCCTGATCTGCACCCACTAAGGTGTTCAGCCCATGACATCTCCCTGCTGCTTCTCCAGCCGTGGTTTTCCCATGGCCTGCTGCTCTTCAGGCTCCCTCCCGCATCGAGGAATGCGCCTGCTTTGGGAGAAAACCTTTCTTTCCCCTCTCTGTCCCCAGGTGATACGGCCGTGCTGCTGTCTCCTTCTGCGCCCGGGCTGCCCACCCAGCTAACGCACGTCTCCCATCCCCCAGTAGGAAATGGAGTCCAAGGTCTCCGAAGGCGGCCTGAATGTCACCCTCACCATCCGGCTGCTGATGCACGGCAAGGTAAGGGGCTCCTTGCCGGGGGATTTCCTCGCAGCTCGCTCTCCTGCCTCCGCTGCAGCTATGCCCGGGTCTGGCCAGCCCCACATGCTGCCTCCACAGCCCCGGGCTGCCAGGAGCAGGTGTCCTTCTGCTGATGGGGAGGGTGGCATGGTGCTCCTGGCCCCTCTCAGGTCTGCCCCCTGGCCCGTCCTTCTGCTGGGGACAGTGTGCACCTGATCTTTGCTTCATTATGGGGTTGGGCTGGATTGTCTTCATGTTTTGTAATGTTGATTCCTTTGTGTTTGGCCTTTTTTTTTTTTTTGGTAGGAAGTGGGAAGCATCATTGGAAAGGTAAGGACATCTTTTAAATGTGTATTTAATGCTATTGCCTGCACGATTTGCTGCCTGTTGTGTGGTAGATGCCAGTCACCTCTTCCCTGTAATGTCCCTTAAATGTTTGGTGTGCATGAGCTTGTCACTGGGTTTGTGAGACACAAATGATGGGAGACCCACAGAAGGATCAAAGACCATTCCCCTACCCCCCCCCCCAAGTTATCTAGTCCTGTTTCCAGCTGCTTCATTGTGGTAACAAACGGGTATTTATGATCATGTCGCCCTGATGTGTTAATTAAATAGATTCATTAGGAGAGATAAAGGAATGTCATGCAGACCCATTTAAATTCTGCAGCACTTCCCTCTGAGGCCACAAGACACCATTTAGCTTGTGCAGAAAAGCTGTATGAGGTGCTCTCCTCCCTGGTGCTTGCCACGGTGGTTTGGAAAGTCCTGGCTATATAGGATTGGTGTTTCAGTGTTTTTAAAAGGCAGGTTGGTGGTAGTGAAGATTTGCAGTACAAACACCTTCTATATGCTTGCACCTTATTTTTCCATCAGCCTGTCCAGCTGTCCTGGTTTCAGCTGGGATAGAGTTAATTGTCTTCCTAGTAGCTGGTACAGTGCTATGTTTTTGAGTTAGGTATGAGAAGAATGTTAGTAACACTGATGTTTTCAGTTGTTGCTAAGTAATGTTTAGTCTAAAGTCAAGGATTTTTCAGCTTCTGATGCTCAGCCAGCAAGAAGGCTGGAGGGACACAAGAAGTTGGGATGGGACACAGCCAGGGCAGCTGACCCAAACTGGCCAACAGGGTATTCCATACCATGGGACGTCACATCTAGTATAGGAACTGGGGGGAGTGGGGGCGGGGGGATCGCCACTCAGGGATTAACTGGGTGTCAGTTGGCGGGTGGTGAGCAATTGCATTGTGCATCACTTGTATATTCTAATCCTTTTATTATTACTATTGTCATTTTATTAGTGTTATCATTATCATTATTAGTTTCTTCTTTTATGTTCTATTAAACCGTTCTTATCTCAACCCACAAGTTTTACTTCTTTTCCCGATTTTCTCCCCCATCTGACTGGGTGGGGGGGAAGTGAGTGAGTGGCTGCATGGTGCTTAGTTGCTGGCTGGGGATAAACCACAACACCACCCCTGGAAAGATTTACAGTTCTACCTGCTTTATATCTGGATACGAAGAGACTAGATGTCTCTATAGGTGCTAGATAACTGCCCTTCAAAGCCACTCTGAAGTGCCAGATTTTCTCAACAGCTGATGAGTTTCTGAGCTTTTTCCATGCATTTTTCCTCCTAATAGGAAATATAGAAAGGGAGGTGGAGGCGCAGTTGTGCATTCTTAGCTGTTTTGTCTGTCATGTCTTACAGACACAGGGCAAGGGGCTACAATGGCTTACACCCTCAGCTCTTCAGCTGACCATTGCGTGGGGATGGAGGGCCAGGCATCATAGAGCTGTCCAAATGTCTGGCTATGTGTTGCCATGTATTAGAGAGATGTGTGTTTGGAAGGGTTGTTTGGAAGGTGGAAGTCTTGAATTTTTAGTAATAGCCTGTGTTTCTGCTTCTTATTTCAGAAAGGAGAGACCGTGAAGAAGATGCGTGAGGAGGTGAGCAACCCTGCTCTGTAGCAGGATTTGTAGGAGGAAGGGAGAGGAGTGGGAAGGGCCGTCAGGCTGTCCTGCCCAGCAGTGTGCAGCACAGCGGCCAGAGCCGCACATTGCCCTGTGTGATACGTGCAGTAACTGGCAGGGTCAGGACACACAAGACAGCTGTGCCAAGAGCTCTTTGGGCCAGTTTTCTCACTCCATACTCAAACAAACTCCTATCACATTTAATGGGAATTTTCCAGAGCCAAGAATTTGCTCTTAATGAAACATTGAAATTAAGTCACTTGTAAAATGCTTGAGTTTGTCCAAGGTCTTTGTGCCTGCAGCTACCAAGGAGTTATCAGATCAGTAAGCAACACTCTTCTTTTTACAAGCAATGATCCCATGAGCTCGTCTTGCCTTGAATGTGTGGGTTTGCATTGCAGTAAAATACCCAAAGTGGATGCTTGGAAACCCTTTCTGAGGGTCAGGGTAAGGGAGCGCTGGAAGCACCACGGGGGACAGGGATGGGAGTTTTTAAGGTTAGATGGGATGTCGAGAGGCTGGCACAGAGGATGGTGAGGGATCAGGCTGGGACAGGACCCAACCCAGAGGAAGGGCTATGCCTCCAGTGCATCCCCATGCATTGCTTGGCTGTGGCTATTCCAGGTCTTCCCTTCTCTTTCCAGAGCGGGGCAAGGATCAACATCTCAGAGGGAAACTGCCCTGAGCGAATCGTGACCATCACCGGCCCCACTGATGCCATCTTCAAGGCTTTTGCCATGATCGCCTACAAATTTGAGGAGGTGAGCAACATGAGCCCTTTTCCCCAGGAGGCCAGAGTAAAAGGGTCCACATCCAGACCCATGGGTGGCCCACCAGCCAAGGAGAGCTCCGGTGTGCCCACTGCTGGGGTCAGCAGTGCAGATGGGCCTGGGTACCTCCAACCCATGCGTGCCTGGCTGGACTTGCTTAACTGGTACATGACCTCAGCACAAAACCTTCTGAACATCTCTAAGTAGGCAAGAACTGAACTTCAGTGAACTGTCCCAGAGGTCTTGCAGTTAACTAACTGCAGGGATGTGCAGTGATGCAGCTGCAGTCAGAGACCAGCCACAGTCTGGGGGACATGACACCTCTTTTCTGGCCCAGGGCAGGTGGGTTGGCCTGGATGGCAAGTGTCTGGTTGGGTACCAAGGGCTGATGCATTGCACTCTTCCTTCCCAAGGACATAACCAACTCAATGAGCAACAGCACTGCTACCAGCAAACCTCCGGTGACGCTGAGACTGGTCGTGCCAGCTAGTCAGTGTGGCTCGCTGATCGGCAAAGGAGGCTCCAAGATCAAGGAAATCAGGGAGGTGAGTCAGACTTGATTTCATTATTGCATGTAGTCACAGCTCCTCAGAGCTGATCCACGACCAAGGGGGAGCTGCCTTGGAAAAGGGGATCCTTATGCTGCTAGCATTATGCATCATGTTGCTTCCCAGGACAGTCCTGCTGACGTAGGAGTAGCATCCCGTGGGACCTTGCCGGCGTGCTCCTGCGGATGCAGGCAGGATGCCGCACCTGAGCTCATGTGGGGCAGTGCAGCTCTGGGGAGGCGCGTGGTGTCGGAGCTGGAGCTGGCTGCAAGGAAAGGCATTCAGCTGTGGGATTTCTCCTCCTCTGTCTTTCTGTCTCCAGTCAACAGGTGCTCAGGTTCAAGTGGCGGGGGACATGCTGCCCAACTCCACGGAGCGGGCGGTGACAATCTCGGGGACACCCGACGCAATTATCCAGTGTGTCAAACAGATCTGTGTGGTGATGCTGGAGGTACAGTCTGTAACAAAGGGGGTAAAGTACATAGGAAAAAAACCCAGCTGGCACCACAACAGCGCTGGGAGCTGTGGAGCGTGTCTCGTACCCTTCACCACGCATTGTCGGACCACTCTCATTTCCTGGTACCTCCGTTTGAAACCGACCCAGTGTGTTTTCCCCACCATTGTCTGTTGTTTCTAGAGTGCCACACTGGAAACCTGCCTGGTTGGGTGCCCCAAAGGAGTTGGTTTGTGTCATAGCACAAGGTGGCTTTAGGAGAGAGGGGTGCTGGAGGAGGCCAGGCTGGCTGGGACAGCCGTAGCCAGGTGTTCCAGCAGCACTGAGGGTGCTGTGGGAAGGCGACGGGGGCTGGAGCCACTCCACCAAGCCACTCTGCATGTGGCTTATGGTGCCCCATGAGGACCAGGGCTGGGAGGAGAAGACCAGTGCATCCCCTGCACTGGGGGACCCAGGGCTGGGAGCGCAAAGCCAGGTGAGGCACAGCAGGAAAGGTAATTAGGAAGGCTGGTGGAGAGCAGGGCCTGTAGGGTACATGGACATGTGTCAAGGGTGCTCTTTTCTGGGAGAAATGCTGACGAGCAGAGCTTGAAGATCTCTGCCATGGAGAGATGCTGCTGTACCAATGGCTTATTGCCAGGGATGACCACGGCCACATGCCCCACCTCCACGCCTCCCACCTCAGATGGGAGAAGCTCCAGCAGGAAACCCCTTGGGACACAGGACGGTGACACCCTCCGCTTCTGGTGCCTCCCAGAGATGGGCAAGCACAGACCAATGTCAGGCCCCTCTGCCTTGCTGCACAGCTCACACATCACTGCCCTTTCACGACAAGGAGGATTACATTTGCTGCTGCAAGAGCTTCAGATGAGGACAGCAAGGCTTGGCAGAGGTGAAGCAAACCCAAATATAAGCAACTTCAGTTTGGCAGCAGCACAGCTAAGGAGGAATTGGCTCGAGCCACATTACCCACCACTGCTGGTAGCAATGCTCAGGTGGGTACAATGTGCTGCCAGAACAGTGCAGTTTTAGCTGCACAGTGACTCCAGGTTATGCTCTGGACTGTAGCAGAGATGGGCCCAAAGTGATGCTTGCAGGTGTGTTATAAAGACTTTTGTGGCTGCTGTTCTCACCAACCAAAGCAAGGGGTGCTGCTCCTCTATATGGCTCAGCAATGGGAAAGAGAAAAACTCATAAGTTTTCTTGCAGTCTGAAATATGGGAAGTCCCCTGACTTTAACAGTTCACAGAGATGCTTTTTATGACCTTTCAGTTTTAAATTATCTTACCACAGAAATCCTCACTCATCCCCTCCAAGATTTGTAAAGCAATAAAAGAAAAAGCAGGTTTGTGATTATAGAGGCTGTGCTTTGATCATACAGCTTTCCTGCAAACCTGTGCTGAGCAGGAAAATTTGGATATGCCACTTGGCTACAAGTGGACATGTAGAAGAATGTACAGAAAAAAATGAAGAATTTTCCATGAGATAGCATAATTTATATTGCCTGTCTTTACATAGCAGTAACTGGGTCATTTCACTTTGGGTAGAACCACAAGGCTTTTATCTGAAATCTCTCCTGATCCCTAGAAACCTCTGAAATCTCTTCTATGGCTTGTTATTTATGTTCAAGAGAAAACCAACAGAGATAACTTGGGTGAGAAGATCCCGTGCACTGTGCAGTGTAATGCATCAGTACAGCTTCTGCTCGGACCTACCCAGGTACCAGTCAGGCCACAGCAGGAAGGAGTGAGATGTCCTGGCCAGCTGGAGCAGGGCTGCCCTGGGTCACACTGCTGCAGGAGGAGGGCTGGGCACAGTGCCTCTGCTGCTTGAGTCTGGCTGGCTGCTCATAAGGACTGCCACCACCATGCAGCTCTAGCATAAGATCTCTGGAAACTCTGATGTTGCCATCTGAGAGGGATTTCCAGCCTCTTGCTCCTCCAGAGCTCAGCACTCTGGCCAAAGTGATCACTGCCACTTGTCCCACCGGGGCATGGGAGGTCTTGACCACAACGAAGGTGCTTTGCAGCATCCACTGCACGGTCAACCATGTCCCAGCTTGGATTCCGATAGACCAAACCAAGTCCTGAAGGTGACGCTGTTCCAGCAGTGAGGAAGATGAGAGGGCTCAAAGACCTTGAGAATCGTGCTGGGTCTCTCAGACAGGCTGCTCACTCCTCCTGATGCCTGTGCTCACAACGCCATATCACAGCTCCTGGTGCTTGGCAGGGCTGGTACGACTCTGGGGCAGGCTGTCACCGTGCAAGAGCTCTCAGGCTGCAAAGAAAGCCACTGCATGAGGGGGCTCCTGGCAGCCAGGGATTAAAAGCCTGGTCCGTGGGTGTACCTGCCCATCTTGCTACTTGAGGGTCTCCTCGGGGTGTTTTGAGGAGGGTGCTCTGTTCCAGCATCAGGCTCAAGTCTAGACCAGATGGCACGGTTTGCGGAGAGCACAGTGAAGGCGAGGGAGTCAGCGGAGGTCCAGGAAGCGATTTAGGGGCCCATGCCCTGGCAGGGGATCTCCCATACCCCAGGTTGTCCTTGTTGTCCATTAAACACTGATTTCCCCTGTGTCCTCCTGTCCAGAAACGCGGTTTGCCTGGTGCGGGTGTTGCTGGCAGCGGCCCCGGGGGCCGTGCTCCGTCGGGTGCTTTCTAACGCTCTTTTTGCCGCCGTTTCAGGAAAGCTGTTCTAATGTTCTCTCTCCCTCTCCTTGTCCCTTTTCCTAGTCCCCACCAAAAGGTGCCACCATTCCCTACCGCCCAAAGCCCGCCTCCACCCCTGTCATTTTTGCAGGTGGTCAGGTAAGAGCCGACCCGCTTGCAGCCTCCACTGCCAACCTCAGCCTTTTACTGCAGCACCAGCCGCTGCCCGTTAGTGCACTCAGGTTTCTTGCCTTCTGACTTGCATGGTGTCATCCCATCCGTTGCGTGCCACGGCAGATGGACTGAAAGCTCTTTGCAGAACCGCTGGCAGTTTGCAAGCCCAGGCAGATGGCTTAGCTCCTGCTGTGATGGCTGCTGGAGGATAAGGAAAGGGCCAGCCTGGGGAAAGAGGGTGTTAGCGCTGCCGGACACTTGTGCACCAAGAAAAGTCTGGAGTTTGCTTCATTAGACCCATATTCAGTATTTGCCAACAGTTAGCAGTGTAAAGGAGAAAATGAGAAAAGCCTCATTGAACAAGAGGCCGTGACCATGCTCCCACAGTGGCTGCAAGTGTTTTTTTTCTGGCTTCTCTAGTCCAATTAAAAATAACTTTGCATAGTTGTAATTGATCTGAGATAGGAAGGGCTCATCCCAGCCACTCCAGGACTGTGCTGAGCCTCTGTTCAGGGCAGTCTCCATGAAAAGGTCATCCCCATCACTGGTGCTGCTCCCCCCCAAAATGCCATAACCTCTGCTGCAGATCTGGGTCTCAGCTCTACCCATGGGAGAGCCCGCATTGCATTGCCTTCGGTGACATTGCGCAATGCTTGGTCTGCAATCTTGCAGTCACGATGTGGTATTTCTAGTGACCCTTGGGAAGCAATGGCAGATTTTTTCTTTGCAGGATAACCATAGCATGCATGTGCCACAGGAGCTGGTGGTTGTTCTGCAAACACAAATCAGCTCCCGCGGCACATGATTTACAGAACAAGAGCAGTTGAGCAGGTGGCTGCTTTTAAAAAGGGGACTTGAACCATTGCTTTTTCTACTCATCTACTTATCTCACCTGGTGACCAAGGACCTGCCTGTAGATGCCACCATGCCGTGGTCCACCAGTATCTAGCAGGAGAGGTACTTTCCCAGGACCGCCAGCAGCCAGGTAGAGCCAGCATCATGAAGCTACAGCTAATGCCACCCAGAGCAGCTACACATGAGTTATTTTGTTTTTCCCCAGCCATAATAAATAGCAGAAGGACAAACTAAGGATGGGAGCAAAGCCCAAAGCACAGGCTATTTCAGGCAGTGTGCTGAATTAGCATCTCTTAGTCATTGCCAGCATCAGCAGGAATGTGTCGTTTGGTCTGAGCAGCCATCCTGGAAAAGAGCTTTGAGTCCAGCTGCTTGGTGAACTTATCTTCTCAAAAGGGAGAGTAAGATGGAGGTAGTGTTTTGCCTGCTGGTGAATGGTTGATGTCTTGCACAGAAGTGACGTTGTGGGAAGAAGCAACTGTCTCTGAAATGAGAGCTCTTCCCTGCAGCCCCTGAAGGAGCACTGGCAAGCCCCTTGGCTCTGCCTGAGGGGTGGCACGGGGTGCGTTATCGGAGGACAGCAGGTGACAGGGCTGCGAGGTGCTTGGGGTAGGTTGAACGTGCATGAGCTCAGCAGGCTGAGGGACACGGTAGCTGATGGCAACTGCCAAAGGGATCAGCCCCATCATCCGTGTGCAATGTCAGCCTCTGCAGAAAGCTGGGCGTCACATAGGCGGGTGCTGTCAGAGTTGGGTTGCATCTGTCCAAGACACCTTCCTGCCTTTAATTAGCTTTTTCTAATCAATTTTTCTAATAAAAAAACCAACAACCAAATTAAACCACCAGGAAAGACTGAACATTTTAGAGCTGCCTCTGCCACATGCCCACAGGCAAACCAGTCCCCATCATGCTGGGATGCCAGCAGGCACTGGGACTGCGTGGGGCTTTGCCTCCTTCCTCCAGGATTTCAGGGGGTTTCCTCACACAAAGCGCTTTGCTGTTTGCAAATGATGTGGCAAATTTGCAGGAGGTTCAGAGAGTGGTTTTCTTCTTTTTCTTGGCTATCTTTACTCTCCCTTTTTAAAGTGTTATCCATCTCTTTTGCCATTTCTTTCACAATCATGTGAATAATGTGTCAACCAGGGAGATACATTTTGCTAGCTGGTTAAGTTCTAAATATCGGGCTCTCTAGTGTCTGGCTCTGTACCCACAGCAGTGCTTATTTTCAGGTTATTTACAAAAGAGAAAGGATTGCTACAAACAATCAGAAAAGCACTAAAAAATTTGCCTAGCAGACATCTGCATGGGTTTGTCAACTATAGCTAGTGAAAGGCATTGCAGTGCAGGCACCATGTCCCTGAGCCCTCGCTAAGCTTGCTGACACATCAGCACCGTGCTACCCAGCTGGCTTTCTGCACCGCAATGCCTTTCCCCCCAGCAGAGCACTGGAATATACTGGGTAGATGTAAAGCATGTTAAGAGCTGTGCACCTGAAAATACAGAGAGACTGTCTGCACTGGCTTGCTTTCTATGATCACGTTTAGGTGCAAAGGGCAGCAGTGATGTTACTGTGCATTCGCTACACATATAATTCTGGTTTGATTAATATCTTTTGTACAGCAAAGCCCAGTTGTCCCATTCCATGCAATTCTGGCACCTTTAAAGAGCCGTTTCCTTCCTTTTGAAAAAGCCAAACTGAGCCCAAGCCCTTCAAGTTAGGTAGTTCAGCATGATCTGGCTTTCATCAGAAGGGTACGTCTCCCTTCCACCCCAAGCACTCGCTGCCCCAGCGAATTTAATGCAGCACAGGGGGGCTTTTCCTCTGGGCTAGCCAGGCGGGTGCGCGGGGCAACTGCTCGCTGCATGGAAAGTGCTTCCCTCATCCCCTCCAACCTCAAAATAAAGCCAGTGAAGTCAAAATTCAAGATACTGCACCCCGCTTTCACTAGCAGCTGAGCGAGGGGAGAGGTGTACCAGTGGCATAATGCTCAGCTCCCCGTGCTTGGTTATTTGGGGTAGCACGGTGTCCCAGGCAGAGCAGGCGGGGGGCTGAGCTTCTCTTCAGCCCCTGCATTCACAGCACGTGAGGCAGAAAGGAGCAAAGCCCAGGGATGGCAGTTCCTGCGGAGACATGGGGCTTTGCCACCGCCTCCTGCCAGCCCTAATAACGTGTTTTTTCTTTTGCAGGCCTATACAATTCAGGGACAATACGCTATTCCACACCCGGATGTGAGTTTTACCCTAATTTTTCTTATACCCTTTTATGTCACCTGCATGCTACTGTTAATTCACATAATATTAATATTAGACAATAATATTAATAGCGTATTTTCAAAGTAACTGGCCGTGTATAGTATCTGTAATACCTTGAATAGCCTTTTAACCTGTTAGCGCTAAACTTCATTAATTCTGAGGACTTGGCCTGACGCTAAATTGTTTGCATTGTTCAGTGCTATCCCTTTGTTCTGAGACAAACCATACTCTATGCATTTTGTGCCTCAAAATGATCAAAATGTGCAAAGAAAGGGGGGGAAAAAAAGACTTTCCTCTCTATTTCCCCCTTGTCTTTAAAATGTTGGTAATCCAAGAGTTTATTTAGGTGCTGAGTGCCTTGGTGGGGTGGGGAGAAGCCAGAACTCCAGCAGTGCATGGTTTCTTGCTTGAAGCCTGGGCAGGGGGGGAAAAGCCTTTTTGGGGGTCTTCCTCCACATGACTCGGAAGCAGGCACTGAGGTTGGGCAAAACGCTACCCACATCCCCCGAAGGGATGGAGAGGATGGCCGCCTGCCACGCTGCTGGAATCTCACCTTGCTGAGGGCTCTGCATCTCCCCGCAGAAGCTGGACCCCAGACCAAAGCGGTCACCCTGGGTCTGATGGCTGTCTCACTGGGTTTGGCTCGCTCTTGCCCAGGAGGGGAGCATTGTGGGCACAGACCCCGCTTCATTTCGTGCTCCTTGGTGTGGAGACAGGTGCCGCTCAGGCTTGCAGCGCAGATGGGGTTTGCTGGTGCTCGGATTCCCCTGCTCATGCCAGGCTCCTGTGGCTGAGGTGGGTCAGGGAGCCACAGCATGTTGGCGGGGGGACATGTAGGGAACATCTGCTGACATGTCTGCGTGTAAAAGTACCAAAAGAAATAGTAAACAAATCTATTTTAAAGGATTTCTCTATGAAAAGCAGCAGTGAAGCACTGCAATGGCAGCAGCTCCTTGCTGGCAGCAGACAGCTGCTCAGCTTCTGGGGTCGTCATGGCTAACACGTGCTGGGGAGCTCTTGGAAAAAGCTGGGATTTTCTAAACGTGTTTCAGAGGGAATAAAATACCCGGCAAGGCCCACTGCAGAGGCCCCTTCTTGCTGGCACACCTGTGAGTCAAGGGTCCACAGTGGGGGCTGAGCACAAAATGCCACTCTGGGGATGTGGCTTAATTGTAAGTGGTGTGGTCTGGGTGGAAAGCCTTCTCCAGTCATCCCACGCACAGGAGGAGTATGATGTAGCTTGGTGTTCCTCCTTGTGATGGGTGCATTGGGTATTAAATTATGGGATTGTTTTTTGCATGACTGAGAACAGAGCAAGGCTGTCCGATACCATGAAGGCATGCTCCCCGTGGGAGCAGTTAGGAGCCATAGGCTGGATTTTAGGATCTTAGGAACAGTGATTTCACCCAATTTAGTGGAGGCTTTGGCTTTCCATATGTCACCAGTATGCATGTACTTTGAACAGCCTGATGTGATGGTTGCTCAGAAAAATTCTTAATAGTGTGCGCACTTCACTTTCGCTCCCTAAGCAGAATATAAATAAATAAACCTGCGTATTTAGTAAGGGTAGATCAATATAGTCTTTGTCCCAGTTTTCCTTTGCAAGTGGTGGTGAGAGCTTAATGTTTTCCTTGTTATTATACTCTTCTGTTTGACGGGAACAAAATACATTTAATACATTTGCTGGCTGAACTCTGCCCTACCCCCAGCAGATTTGCTGAGACCTGGAAAAAGTTGTTCGTACAGGGGCCACACTCCATCCTTACTCTCATAGCTCTCTTGCAAGGATCGGTCATTTTAAACACTGCTCGGCACAGAAACTAGTCTTGAACATGATTTTAGGGCATTTCCCTTGCTCTCACAGGTGTCTGTGTTTAGTGGATGCCTTTTGCAGACCTGTGACTGCGGAGCGGGCAGTATTCCAAATGCCAAAGCTAAAATGAGAGCTCCTGCCTTAATTCTTTTCCCTGGGAAAAACCCACCCAGGTCCACAGGAGTTTTAGCTCCCAAAGGGCTTCAGCATTGCCCAGGTACTTGTAAGCCATTCAGGATGTGATGTGCAGCTACCTGCCTTCAGGAAATTTGTGGTGGGAAATGAAAGGACAGCTGTGGCAGCTGGGAGTTGGGGACACTTGGGAGTGAAATAAATGTCGAGCGCAGGAAAGCTCCCAAACCGAGTCATTGCTCCTGGGTATGCACGAGGCTGGCAGCTGATGAGATGTAACCAGGCATTGCTGTGGGTGCCTAGTGATGCTCAGCATGGCTGTACGTTAGTCCTAGCACTGCCGTCCTGCCCTGTTCTGTCCCTCCCAGCAGCGCTGGTGGGGGAACTCCCCTCTGGTCTGCAGGGAAAACCAGAGTTTGAAGAAATGCTCTCAGGATTTTGCTTTCCGCTTTTACGAGGAAACAGGAGAAGAGGTGCTTCATGCACCGCAAGCGTTGACATAGCAGCTTTCACGTTAACATCTAGGCATAACTATCTTCTCCTCTTGTATGCTTTTTTATTGGTGTTATTATGGGTGTTTGCTAAATACCACTATCTGAACTATGTCTTAAAAATATGCTAGATCAGTATTAGAAAGGACTTTGGTGTTTCCCCCGTCGGGCGAAGCAGGACCCCTGCCCTGGGGCATGGTTGGAGCCCGAGGGGCTCTGCCTCCCGGGTGCTCCTCGGCAGTGCCGGCAAAGAGGCAGGAGGTTTCATCTAGAGTGCTGCCGGTGGGACCGGTTGTAATGAGGAGCTCCACAACAGGGTGCAACTGGGTGTAATTTGGTAGAAAACAGAAGAGTTCTTAATTTAAAAAGCAGCAGATGCTGATGTCCCTGCTACCTGCAGGAGCGGTGGTGTGCCTGGTCCTATCCGGAGCTGACTGTGTTTCAGCAGGAACCCGCCGTAGAATGTCTTCAGCTTATTTGCCGTGCCGCACAGGGCGAGATGTGCACATGCCTCTTCTCGTGGGGTGGCAAGACCTCTCCCCCGAGCCAGTGGAGGCTGGAAGTCCTCACGCCTCTGCCGGGCAGGGCTCCCTTGGCTACCTCTCCAGGGACTTGCAGGTGTTTTCCCTCCCCGCTGCCTCCCTCCAGCCTCTCCCCCGGTGTGCTCAGCCCTCCGGATCTGCTCTCTCCAGTGCTTCCCCCTCACCGCTGCCAGCCAGACCTCCCCGTGCTCCCTTCCCAGCCATGCTGCAGGAGCAAGGAGGTTTTTGAGTATTGTTTCCCCCCAAAACGTGGAAATCTTAACTCCTGCCTCTCCCTCAGTGGGGAGGGGATGGGTGCAATGAGCGGTTTGCGTTTGGGGGGTGACGCAATCCTGGCAACCCTCTGAGCGCCTGTGAAATTGCTGAGTGGGAGGTGATAAAGACCCTCCCTCCTGCCGACTGCTAGACTTCAGCCCAGTTTCTTTTGTTTTCTTTTGTTTTATTGTGTTGTTTTTTTTAATTTGGAGCAGTGAAACCGAGCACAAAATGTATTCCAAACAAAATCCGCTCTATGCAACCGCTTCCTGATGGGGCACGAAAACCTACCCGGCACAACAAGGGATACAAGGATCTGAAATACCTACTGGTCATGGCTGAAGCCCATACTTCCCTGTACTGCTAAGGTGCTTGCGCTCATAACGAGCTGACGTTGAGAGCCACAGTTTGTCCGTCTCCCAGAGGCGTTTCCCATCGGAGGCGCAGCACAAGAGCATTTGCTGCAGGGGCAAGCAGTCACCATGCAGCTCCAGCAGCACAAAGAGGGTCTTCTGGCTGCTGGCACATGATGGCCACCAGCCTGGCAGTGCCTTTGAGACGGCTCCTCTGCTCTAAAGCTACCCTGAAGTGAGCAGCAGCTTCTGGTCGCAGGTTGTGAAGCCTGGAAGCTGGGGAAGGCAGCGGCTGGAAGCACTGTAGGCAGCAGCCGGCCATACACCTGAGGCGGCCGCTCGCTCGCAGCGAAGGAGCTGAACTGTTTGACGAGGGGTGGAAACTAAGAATGGGCTTCTTGCTGGTATCGTACTTCAGACCCTGACTAAGCACTTCGGCAAAAGATTTGGGCTTTATTGCATTTTACCCAGGCCAAGTCCTTCTGCTAATGTTTTTGCCATGTCTCACCATGGCTTCCTGGTTTGGTTTTTTTTTGTTTTCTTTTCGTTTTTTTTTTCTTCCGTTATAATTTCGTTCTTGATTTTTGGTGTGACTTGTTGTACTCTATAACAATAACCTTCTTAGCTCTAATGTCCCTCCTACCCCTCAGCAGTTGACCAAGCTCCACCAGTTGGCTATGCAGCAAACCCCCTTTACTCCCCTTGGACAGACCACCCCCGCTTTCCCTGGTACGTACCCACACGCCCTTTCTAGACATCCTTCTCTTCTTACCTGTAGAGTTTCTCTCTCTTTCTAAACTCATGCTATTTAATGGAAACAAATAGGGCAAGTAAAACTGAAGTTTGCAGTGTCCACGGGGACAGGTTAACAGGGATACTAGATTGATGTTTGGGGGTTACGATCCTCACGGGTGAGCTCTCAGCCATTAACCATGCACGCCCGGACTGATCCTGCGAAGCCACGCTGACCTTGCTCCCAGCTTTGCTGGCTTTCCCAGCAGAAGCGATAAGCACCAGTCTCCCACCCTTCCCTGCCCAGAGGAGGTAGCATTTCCCGCCGTGCACTGATCTGGACCTTGGTGGGACATCCCCTCTTTCCCAGGGGGAATGGCTCACCTCCGGCTGGGGATGCTGCCCCGGCACCTGCGGGGACCGGTGCCGAGCTGGGCAGGATGGCACCTGAGCACCGGGGAGAGCAATGGGAAGGAGCCGTGGCCGTAGGGAGCCACATTGATGGGAGGACAGCCAGACATGGCGTGGCTCGGCAGCCTCGTTCCCAAGGCTGGCGTCGCAGTTAACGCATTTCATGGTGACCTGGGAAGCAGATAGAGAGAGTGCAGGGGATGGAGATACTTAAAGTACCTTTGCTTACTCGGTGGTCAAAGTGCCGGTTGGAAATGCCTTTTCTGACAGTATGTTCATCATATTTTGAGCTTCCTAGATGAAGTGACATTGCTTATCTCCTCGAAGGCAAAAGCATTAAACCTGTTTCTTCTTTGCTCTTCAGGAGAAAAGCTGCCCTTACATTCCTCCGAAGAAGCTCAAAATCTGATGGGCCAGTCATCAGGTAAAACAAAGCTACAGGGAAATAAGCAGGGTTCTGTTGAAATATGTTTCTTAAATAGGACTGTGCCATTGTTGTGCTCCTAGATAAATTGCGGTATTTGTGAAGGTGTCAGGTTTTCTTGGTGAGCAGGGAGACCAGGCAGCACTGTGCCTGCTGTTCTCCTTTGTACAGCATGTCAAAAGAAAAGTGCCTGGAGTTTATTGCCTAGTTTTCTGATGTTTGCATATAACTGCCATCTGTGTAATGGAAAGACATCAGAGTCATCACCCTTATTCTTTCATTTAATTTTGTATAAACTTTGCTCAGAAACAGTAGAAAAATGCCTGTAGGAACAGAAATGACATGCAATTTTAGCCATCTCTAAGCCATTCATGGTAAACTGCATTTTTAGTGGGACAGGACCCTGAGGAGCCAGAGCATGGCCATAATCTTGGAGAAATTTTGATGTCAAATGTCCCGCACATTCATCCATATGTGCCTAACATGCTTGTCTTTTATAACGTGCCATTGCTTAGAGGAGTTATCCTGGGGCCTGGAGGCTCATAGGTGATGTGAGCCAGACCTTCCCTGGGAGTACCCAGGGCACACATCTGCTCTGCGGCCAGCCAGGGTACCTCACATGCATGCCTCGAAAGAGTCTGGGGCACCGCCTAACTATGAAAACAAACATAGCCCAAACAAACAGACCCCACAAGACTGTAGCAAACATAGATTTCATGATACCAGCCTGCGCAGCCTTGTTTTCCGCGTGCCCTGCCTTGCCCTTTGCAAAGGCACTAATCCTGCCCTGACCCCCTCACATTACAGCCATGGGGACTGCATGTGCGTATCAGAGAGGGAGGATCTCATATGCTAAAATAAACAGTCTCCAGGTAATGGAGGACTTGGCCATTCCTCGATGGCCGTTGTGATGCAGGGGTGATGCAGTACTATGGCACCATGTTCTCCAAGGGCTTTCAGCAGCACCTGTGCCATTTGAGCATGGGGTGGGGGGCCCTGTCTATGAATCTGAGGAGCCCAGCCTGCATTTCCAAAGATCCCTGGGTACCTCAGTGCTGCTCTGAGCCCATCTCCAGTGCTGTGCTCCCTTCAGAAGACATTTTCTGCCATACCCACACTGCTATCAAGCTGAGCCTTGTAACGCATGGCCAATAGACGGGGACACCTGCGCCCTGGGGGACATGTCTTTGTCTTAGGTGCAGTCCATCTGCCCCTAGACTGTGAGAAGGCTTGGTGTGAAAGACAGTCCAGGGCTGGTGAAATGTCTCTTTCAGTGCAGTGTGCTTTAAAGTTAGTGTTAAGCATTGCATGCTGTGTAAAACCTGGGCAGGAGCTGTTTTGTGCAGGCGTTAGCACACCCAGCAGGGGTGAAGGAGGGCGTAGGGCTGCTGACTGGAGGATTTACATCCCCATTCCTTGCCTTTCTGTGTCCTCCCCAGTGAAAAACATGGGAGAGATACATTGTGCCAGTGGGTACCTGGGCAGTGTACCCAGGCGTTTCATCTCTGTAGGGGAGGTGCATGTGGGAAAGTGCAGGAAACATGCAAGAGCGAAGCAAGGATAGCTGATATTCTCCTTTCTAGGGGTGATTCTCAAATAGGTTTGCAACCTAAAGCTTCATTTTAGTGTTTTAGAAATCTTGCTTTGACAGCTCCAGTACCCAGATAGACATCAGTTCAGACCTGCTGCATTTTAAAACCTGGGCGGCTGTTGCTGGCAAAACTGTTTGGGAGCTCCTCTTCCATGGTGCAGAAGGCCTCGATGGAAATGCAGACCAGAAAAACTTGCCCATTGCTTGGAGGAGTTGCTCAGCATGGTTAAGGCAGTGGCATAGTGCCATGCAGCTTGAGGAAGCCCTGCTGGATTGGGTGACTAGGAATTCGGTGCTGCTGCTGTCTTGTGTTGTAGCAGCTCAGCACTTCCAGTCTCCTTGTGCTTCTTTTCTTTGCACCCCCTTACTCTGCACAAGTGTCTTGGACTCTTGCACATGCTGCTCTTAAAAGCCTTCCTCGGTAGTTCATATCATATGGATAACATTTTTTTTTTGAGGTTACTACAAATTCCTGTTAGCCACCAGACAGCTTCTGTCTTGCAGATCTGACATAGGACATCCCTGCTTCAGCACTGAGGTGATGTAATATGGAAACCTGTGGGAGAGGCAGACTTCGACCTGGCCTAGGAGCGTTACAGCATGCTGTCCTCTTACCTCTGGAGCTGCACACACAGGGATGCTGGCTCCAGCCTTTACCACTATGGAGGAGAGTGCCCTCCCTGGCCCAGGAGAGGCAGGCAGGAAGCACATTGCTGCCTTCGCTCCTTGCCATGTGATTTTTTAGGGAAGCAGGCTCTAAATCTCCATACTGTTTGCCTTGCTTTCCCTTGGGAGTAAGAGGAACCATCGGTCCTGGGTCCAGCTAGTGTGCATGTCTTAGCATTCTGGCTTAAATTCAGCATGCAAGCCTGTGGGGCTTTAATTTGCAAAGTACTTTGCAGGCTACCCTGTGCTCGTGCCACCGGATCCCCCAGGGAAACCGGTTTTGGGGTGCCAAGTTGCTGTCATAACCACGCGGCTCTGTGCTGCTGTGTCCAGAGAGGGCTGGAGGGTGCATGGACAACCCTCCTGCTGGCAGGCTGTCTGCCTCTAGGGTTGGGTTTCCCAGCCAGCAGGCTGTCTGCTGCTGTGTGGAGGAGGGCTCTGTGGGAAGGTGCTTTTCCCACCACTCTCCAGCAATGCTGCAACCTTGCACTAGAACGCAGCCTCCTGTGAAGCCATTCCCAGTAGGAGGATGGAGGGTGGGAAGCGAGGTACTCATGGGGTAGCACCTGCGAGGCCAATGCGAGGGATGCAGGGGAAGGTGTCACCCAGCTGCAGCAGAGTCAGGTAGCAACCATCTTCCTCCTCCTTGTACCAAAATGTGTGATCCCCTTCCCCTCCCAGCCCCGGAGCAGGATGCAGCCTTTGCAGTGTTGACTGTTGCGGGAAAGCAGCGGAGCTCCACCGCGCTGCCTCTGCAAGCTATAACCATTTTCCCTTGCATATGCCCAGGTTTGGATGCCAGTCCCCCGGCCAGTACTCATGAACTCACCATTCCCAATGATGTAAGTAAATCCAAGTGTTTCCTTGGCATGTGTGTGTGTGTATACACATATATATATATGTGTGTGTGTGTATATATATATATACACATATATATATATATGCCATGTGCAGTCTGTTGGGGATCAGCCTGCAGCATAAAGCACCCATTGGACTTTACCCTGTTGGTAGCTTTCCTAGGTATTATCCTTCTTAATGCTCCTTTTCCCTTTCCAAATGAACTCGGTGCTCATGAAATATGCCCAGTTGACAGCACTGGGAAGGGGAGAGAGCTCCCGAGCCAGCCCTGATTAAACCATAATTGCTTAATCTAGCACTGGCTCAAGCATAGTTACTGGGAGGGTTGGAGAGGAGGTAAGTGTGTGTTTCTAATGCCACAAAGCGTCGCACAAACGTTTGAAGGATGGCGCGTCTCTTCTTAGTACTGGTGGCAGTCAGCTGTTCAGTCTGATAGATGGAGGCATTGTGGTAAAGTGGATGTTGGACTGGGATATTTGCTGGGAGGAGGCTGGAGTCATGCTGGGCATGCGGTGCAAGGAGGATGCTTGGGAATGCTCAGGTGCGAGGAGGTGGGATGGAGAGCCCAACACAGCTGGTACTTGGATCCAAGGGTCTCGCTTCTGGACTGGTCCACTGGTTTCCATGGGTTGATAGCCAGGAGGAGCTCGAATCAGAATCAGGGCAAGTGGAGGGATGACTTCAAGTCTTTGTCCCCATCACCATCACCTACAAGAACCTTCGGCCCATCCTAATCAGGAGTTTCTGGATCGGGTCTGGCAGCTGTTGCTACTTCTTCCTGCTGTTCACCAACACATGGCAGTGCAAGGGAAGGGCAGCGAGCCAGCTGCAGCTGCTGGGCACCTCTGCTCCTCCACTTGCGAGGCCTTCTTCCACCCGAGAGATGTGGCAGTAAAACAGTTTCTGAGCATCTGTTGGCTGAAACCCTTGGAGATGCTTCACCCCAGGGCCAATCGCCATGGGAGAGCTCTGTGGAGGAGCCTGTGGCAGAGAGCAGCAGGGCTGATCCTGGATTTGCTTCTGTCTGTCCAGTGAGGAGCTCCCTCTGGAAGGCTGAAGGGAGCTCTGCAAATGCTCCTGAGGTTGCAGCAGCCACGTCTGTTGAGCATGGGGAACCGCAGCCCTGGCAGCAATGAGGGCATCTTCAGGAATATCAAGTGACCCCTTGCAAAAGGGCTCACATGGGAGAAAAGGATGCCAGGGAACCTCCCACAGGACCCAGGAGCACTCAGAGCATTCGCTCGCCAGAAGCCCAGCTCTCATCAGACCTGCGCAGCATTAAATGTCATCGCCTGCATCTTTTTGCGTGCTGAAAAATGCTTCCTCAGCTCTGCCTCCTGTTGTTTTGAGGGCTTTTAAACACTCACTGCCACCTTCCCTGGAAGCAGAGGGCAGGTTTGGGTTTCTTAAAACAAAGGGTCTACGGGCATGTTTTAGTGATGTAGATCAGCTTGGGGTTGTGCTGCAGTTCAAGGAAATCTGATGATATCCATCTTGTTGCTCCTCTGGCTGTCAGGAGAAACTTGTAAGCTGTTCAGCTTGGATGTTGCTGAACATCTGTCTAAATAGTTTGGCTCCTCAGGTCTCCCCAGCAGGTTCCCATCTGTAAGGGATTTTCATTTGCTGAAGCATCTCTGAGTTATTTCTGCACCATGAAGACCAGGATGGGAGGCTGTTGGGTTGAACACCCCACTGCAGCCCCCGAGATAGTTGATACCCTTCCAGCACTGCAGTAGGGTGTACATTCAGATCCATATGGGACAAACCACTAAGGTAGCCCCATGATCTGATGAAAGGACCAGTGAACATTTGGAGGAGTAGTTGTCTCCACTTCTACAGTGACAGAAATCCAGCAGCTGCCAAGATGAATGTCCCACATAAAAAATTCCCAGGTGCAACCTTGGAAAAGAGCTCAAATGCTGATGGCCAAGAAAGGCACGCAGAAACACCTCATGCCTGTGTTGGTAAACCTGGACATCACCAAGCTGCAGAGGTGCTTGAGGGAACCATAGTTTGATGCACAAATGAGCAAGAGCAAAGATGAAGACCATTGAGGAAATCGAAGCCAGTGAGGACCATTGAGGAAATTCAAGGGATGGGCAATTGAGGAAATTCAAGCCTCCAGCTGGTTCTAATTTTTCACAAGAGTGTGAAAGACATGATTTTGAGTAGGGTTCTCCTCTTACGCTGGTGCCACAGCCACGTGGTGCTGTCCTGTCAATGGTGTGCATGCTGGCAAGCCCTTGCATTGCACCAAAATAGCTGAGGGGGGTAACAGAGGGAGCAAGAGTGTCCCAGCAGGGTAGAAGAAGTGTGGGATGGGGTGTGCAATGTGAAGCTATCAATGGTGTGTGGCTGCACCAGCTGATGACGTGGCTCTTGGGGTTGGGCTGTCCCCAGGGAAGGCAGTGGGCTTGTTTTCTTCTAGTAACGCACCCTGTATAACCACCTTCAGGTTCACTGTGATTGGCAAGGGGATAAGTGCGGAGCACAGTCTGAAACATGACTCATTCCCATTTTTGTAAAACAATGACCAATTATTAGACCATGAAAATTATTATTACTGAAATGAGCCTGGTATAACACCTCACCCTTCTTGAAGCCCTCTGAGATGCTGGGCATCGTGTGTGGATAATTGAAATTTGCCCCCTCGAGGAGCAGAGCAGGGCAGGCTGCTGGACATGTCCTGGGAGGACTGTGCTTATATGCACGTGGGATTCACCCCCAGGTTGTCCCTCCCCTGTTTTCATGAGCATTAAGGTCACTCATGCCCCAGGGCAGAGGGAGGAAGGCTTCTGGCCAGCGCCATGCAGTTGTGCTCGCGTCCCGCTGGTGACTGCCAGAGCTGCCGCTTCTCAGACGTTCCCTCCATGCTTTTTTTCTAGCTAATAGGCTGCATAATCGGACGCCAAGGGACCAAAATCAATGAAATTCGGCAGATGTCGGGAGCGCAGATCAAAATCGCCAACGCCACGGAAGGGTCATCGGAGCGCCAAATTACCATCACAGGAACCCCTGCAAACATCAGCCTCGCGCAGTACCTCATCAACGCCAGGTGAGACCCCCCACCGACCTCCGCCGCCTCCCACCACAGCCGAACCTGTCCTGCCAGCGTGGTGGGAGCAGCACTCGCTCCCGGCACCGCGGGCCAGGAGGGGATTCCTGAGGCCAGCTGGGATGGATGGTGGCTTGCTGAGACCTCTGAGTGGGGACCAGACGTCACCAGTGGGACCTCTTCCCCCAGCTGGCACTTTGGCTGGGGACTGGGAGCCGCTTTGCTGCCGGCAGAGCAGCCACGGGTTGCGCCGGTCACCTGCCCACCCGCCACCCTCACTTGAGGATTTTGCTCGTGGGTGGGCAAAATCACCACCATCTTTCCCTGCGGATGAAGCAGGGGACAGGGACAGGGACAGCGCTGAACCCGTGGTGGGGAGGCATCATTTGGGACTTGCTCGGTGGGATCCCAGCATCGCTTACTGCCACCTCAGAGCCTCTTCCGTGTGCTTCCAGGCCTCCCAAAGGCTTTCCTCCATCCAATGAAAATAATCACTCCAATAAACGCAAGACATGGGAATGGCCTGATTGCTTCCTTTTCATGCTAAAAAGCTTGGTGCAGCAGGACTTTGCAGGGGCCAAGGGATCCCGACGCTGCCTCCAGCCAGGGGGCAATACTGCCTGTGCTGTGGGGGACCAGAGGTCTGGCAAGGGACTGTGAGGGGAGTGTATAGGGGAGGTGTAGCTGGAGAAGGGTTGGGGACCAGCTCCGTGCTGGCAGTGAGCCGTGTCCGGGGCGTTCACACAGACCTGTTTGCCTGCGTCTACGGATTCTTGGATGGGGAGCTTAAGGGGAGGCAGGGTCTTTCACTGGATTTGCGCCCGCCTGGCACAGCCATGCAAGCCAAGGCAGTCCACCCGTCCATGCCTTCCGCTGCGGGCAGAGTTGGTGCCGTGCCAACCCACCACCAGCCCAGGATGTGCGCGGCTGTGGGATGCTGCCGTCAGGGTACTGAGGATGGGGGGCTGTTGGCGGCGACTCTGACGTTCGTTGGGATGTGGGCTGGGAGCACCAGTGAGGTCTGTATGTGCTTTCTCCTCCTTGCACCCAACCCACCTCAGCCCCGACCTGCAACAGACCTCCACCATCCCATCCTGCCCCGCTGTCCTGTTGCCCACATCCATGGCACCTCTCCAGCCACTCAGGAGAGGAACCGGGCCAACCCCACACCTGCAGCCATGGCCAGGTGGCTTTCCCTGCAGCTCCTTGCCAATCCCCCCCACCTCTTGAGACAAGAGAGAGAAAGAAAAGAAAAACGAGCAGCTCTTCATTAGTGGGAAGGGCTGGCTGAGGTGCAGCCTGTGCTGTGGCAGAGGCAGAGATGACCTGGCAGGGGGGAGGATGGGGCATAGCTCAGCCTCTCCCATAGTTTCAAAAACCAGAGCAAAACAAAGAAGCCGGGGGAGCTGGGACAGCTGCCTGTCCTCCATGGGAGGGATGCTGGTAGAAGTGAAGCCGTGTGCTGGGATGTCTTCTGCCAGCACCCATGGTGGGTGGCACCTCTGCCACCATGCGGTGCCAGGGATGGGCATTACCTGGCAGCAGTGAGGAGAGGGGAAGGCAGCCAGCCATTGAGCTGGCTCTATGCTCCAGCCCACTGTGCCCTCCACAGGGACCCTCAAGGCCCATGAGCTCAAGCCACCTGGGGATGCTCTGCCCCCTGTCTGAGCAGGCCATAGGCAAGAGGAGGAGCGCTGCCCCACAGGGTCTTCGTTTTCTTTTCTGCTCCGGATATTAAGCGCTTGTTTTTGTCTCCCCCCCACCCCTCTCTCTGCCCCTGTCTATTCTAGGCTGACGTCTGAGGTCACTGGAATGGGCGCACTCTAATTTCCACCCACCATCCTCCACTCCGCACCACCCGACCCTCTCCAGCCACCGGCACTCCACCCAGCCTGTACTGCCTGTACATTTACCGTCTTCCCTTTGCCTCCACAGATACTCTTTTCTTTACTAACGAATATATATATATATAAATACACACACATATGCACACACTGGAACATTTCTTTAAGAGCTCCTTACTGTGCTCCTGAGGCTGCTCCCAAACTCTTTGGTTATGGTCCTTGTTTTCAGCGTACGGTGTTATTACTTCATCTGCTTTTAGGGGTGCGGGGAGGGGGGTTGGTTGTTTTCAGCTGGCGAGATTTCAGAAGATGACAGGGTCTCTAGTGTCAGTCTAGCGTAGCTACTTACACGTTTGAGTTGACGTTGGCGGTACGTGCTGTAGCCTATGGACATGTGACGCCACCCAGAGCTGTGCGTGCTTCAGAGTACTTACTTTTCTCACCCTTCTTCCTTTGATGCTCCCTCTTCATTCGCTTTGCTTGTCCTGGCTCATCTTTGCGACCTTGCATCCCTGCCCTCAGGGTAAGGTGTAGTTTTCACCCCGTGTTACTTGGGAAGCAGAACATGTGGGAGCCAAACCGACAGGCACACATGGGTTCACCTGCAGACTTCTCTCTTTGCAACGTGGCAGGGTCCAGACAAGCCATTTTCATACTAAATGAAGGGAATCACGCATACACACACACAAATGGTCTTCTTTTTTAACTAATGAGCAATTGGAAGTGGGAAGAATTCAGCTGTATGGGATTCACACCCCCAGGGGCCTTTGAAAGCACTCTTTTGACAATCCCCACAAGCAAAACCTTTGGACGATAGCTCAGGAAGCTCTGTGAGCCGGCTGTGTTTGTCGTTGTTTGTGTTCAATAAATGTCTGTGCAGCTCTGCTACTGATGGGCTCCGACTGTTCTTCTCCTGGGTCGCCCCACCATTTCCAGCCCCATCCTTCCCTCTGCATCCTTCCGCACCTTTTTAGCTGCTTGGAGGGAAGGTTGTGGTTGTATACAAAACTTCATCATCATCATTATTATTAGTATTATTATTATTATCATCATCATCACTATCTTTATATTTTATTTTATTTAGAGAAGGTCCCCAGGAGTGATGCAGTTCCTGAGTGATCTAGGCTTTCTTTTTTTAAAAGGGAGGGTACCTGGCTTGCATAATGCTTTGGTTTTCGCTAAGATCAATTTACAAGTTATAGTATGACAACAAACATCTCTCACTGCCCCCTTGTCTGGACAGATCTGCCATGTCTGTGCCCCACACCCTTCCCAAAGACCCTCTATGCCCAGCCCTGCCTTCTGCTTCCAGGCTTACTTCTCTCTTCTACCTCTCAAACAGGGAAACAAATATATTTTCCATCTGTTAATTTCCTACTGTATAAAATGTATGGTACATGTTTTCCCTGTATTGCAAATGAGGGGATCATGATGCACCATGTCCGCAGGCAGCTAAAGCAGCCACATGATAAATTTTTGCACCATACCACATGGGAAATATATTGTTTTTCCAGGTGAGCCCCAAGACTTCATGACCTTTCGTTCCCTTCCTCCCCTAGTGCCAGTAGGCACCGCTGGCAGCCCCCCTCCCTTCTGCTGCCAGGATGCTGGAACGATTCTCCTCTTGTCACCAGCGCTGACTGCTCAGCACTCACATGGGGCTGCAGTGGGGACCCCAGGTGATGCCACTGCATCAGTGGAGCCAGCATTGGGCAGGGGTTTATGGGCTCCAGCCCCAGCACGGGGGCTAGTGCGGCTGCTTGGCAGCTGGCAGGGATGATGGCACGCCTCAGAGAGGGCAAAGGGGGTGAGTTTGCTTGAGCAAGACAGCACATGCCTGTTATCTGCATGTATCGGGCAGCATTGTCACGTCCCCTTAGAGGTCCATACCCCCAGCCCAGGAGCCCACCGCTAGCAAAGCTCCAGAAAGGTGGAGGTGGCTGCCAGGCCCTGCTGCTAAGCATCAATTCGTTCAGCCTAGGTGTCATAAAACCCATGCGTGCTCAGCTCTCTGGAGCATTTCAAGCCTCTGCATTTAAAGGTGCTTCCAACTCCTTCATAAGATGCTTTGCTGCCCGTTCCCAACCCCTTGCTCTGCTCTCCCTGGCAGTTTGGATTCAGCTGTGCCTTTCAAGTGGTCCAGCAGCCAGACATGCTCAAGAGCATCCCCTTATTCACGGTCGAGGGGAGCACAGGTGCTTTGGGCAGTGCTACAGGGCTCAGGTGAAGCCAGTAACCTCCCCAGCAGCAGCCCTGCCTTTTATTTGTGCTTATGCTGGGGGAGGGAAGGAGCCCAGGCACCAAATGTTGCCTCCCCCAGTTACCGACTGGCCACAGCAAGCACAGAACCACCTGCCAAGGTGGTGAGTCAGCCGCGAGCAACCGGCACTCCTCATCCTCTCCTGTTCCTCACTCTGGTCTAGACCAAGTATTTTTCCTGTTGAAAGAACAAAATATCTGTGTGTGAGACCCAGCATGAAAATAACTACCCATCAGTGTGCCAGAGCCACCCCGGCAGCCTGGGTGGTGAGCTGGGGCACATGCCAGCCAGCAAAAGTTCCACATTTCACTGCCACCACCCTCCAAGCAAAGCGATGGCAGCCAGTGGCCTGGGGTGATGCTCCCCTCAGAGAAAGATGATGCACGGAGGGAGCCAGCCCATCCCACCATGGCTCAGCTCTCCCATGGGGCTGCAGAACAAGCCAGAGCACAAGCAGATCTTGCAGGAGATGGAGGCATATGGAAAGCAACCAAGGTGCGTGGCTTGAGCAGCCTGCCTCTTCTTGTGCTGCTTTCTTGGCACACAGGAGCACTTTAAAACTCTGGCACACAGGGTGCGGTCAGAATTCAGCAGCAGCAGCATGTCAACCAAGACTGAGATATCCATCACAAGCCAAAGTTTTTGTGGGGTTCGTACATCTGTCAGGTGCTTATGCCCTGAGGAAGGCAGGGGATCTTAATAGTGTGCTAATTGCAATGAATGTGGAAATGGCATTGCACAGGGACCTGTGGTTTCTGCACATTGCATCTGCCCTGAATTTCTTTGTGTGCTATGCTCCCTGTGCTATTCCCCACCTCCGCTGAGACAGCACTGCCCAAAGTAGCAAATGCCAGATTGGGTCTTCCAGATGCAACCAAGCTCAGAGGCTACTAGAGAGAAGGAGCAGATTGCAGCAATACCTCTACACCCATCCCCATGTCAGTGAACCCACAGCTATCATCCCCCTCTAGGTACCATCCCCACCCCAGCCCTCTGCATTACATCTGTCACCCAGCGAGACTGTCCGTGCCGGTAAAGCCGCTGCAGGAATCGGTGGTGAAGGAGGGGAGGTCAGATACAAGCGTCACTCTGGCATCAGGCAGGTATCCGAGCTGTGGTGTCGAGCCACACGCTGCAGCAAGGACCTGGGCTCATGGGAGCGCTCTGGGGAACAGTGCGTGGGTCTGTGGGGAGCAAGGGACCATCCCAGTGATAGTGGCCCCCTTACAGGAGCACTGCGTCCTTGCAGCCTCAGCTCTGCGTGGAGCCGCGGGAGAGTCTCACAAATCTTCCAGCACCTTGATAAAAAGCAACGCTACTCAGGATGTGGTTTTTAAGGACTGTTGCTGAAATGTGCTGTCCTGGAAGTCAGAGCACGGGGCTGGATTTTGCCTTCTCCCTGTGGCATGTCTGCTCGCTTTATCTGAATGATGTCGGCTTGTGTGATCGTTACATCTTGAGGTATTTCCAAGGAACTTGAGGAGGCAAAGGAGCCTTGATGTACAAAATGGATCACAGTTTTGCTTTTTGCTCTGCTACAGGATGCTTTTTTTGTTTTAGCTATCTGGAGCCCATTTATAACAGAAAAAGCCAATTGAGCAACTCTAGCTGGGAAATGCCAGCCCTCTAGCAAATGAAGCCAGGGGTTTCTCAAACCAGGCATGCAAAAAATGATGAATCTATACTGAGCCCCTGCAAAGCAAATGCTTATTTGCCTCCCATTGTTCAGGAATCCCCTCCTTGGCAGAGGGAGAGATACAACCCAGCCCACTGCCTCTCCCCACTGTGCATTTAGGTTTTAGAGGATGCGGCAGGGAGCTGAGTCCTTTGCTGTAGGGCTGGAGAGAGGGGAGCCTGTGGAAAGCATCAGGTGGGATCCTGCAGGAGAGGGAGCAGTGAAGGATGTGGTCATGCTGGTGTGTCTGAGGCATCCCTCCTTCTGATATTACCTGAGCCTTTGACTTTGCGACTTCTCTTAGGGGTTAGGTTATTTTGCCAAGAAAAAAAAAAAAGAAACAAACTCTAGTGTTACGTGGGAATCTAGCAGCTTATCCATCATCATCCAGGCTTGAGCGAGGCGTGGAGAAAGAGGTGTTTAAACAATTCCAGCATCTCCTGGGAACATGTTGATGACAACAATGATAACAACAAAATCATAAGGAATGTGTCATACAGCTTTGATTTCCTTGGTATGGCTCAAAAGGAGATTTGCTGCTTTGTTTGGAAGGAGTCTCAATGTTTTGCTTTTACTTGTGTTATCTCTTGGGTTTGCGTTTTATATGAACTTAAAATGCTCCAGTGATGCATCCACAGCCATGCCGCTGGGAAAAATATATATACACATCTCTAATATTGGAGTGAATATTCAATACAGGGTGAATGTCCCAGTTAATCAACAGAATAGCTTTAGTGCATTGCTTTTCTCTCTCAAAGCAATGCATTTTTTTTTCCAGACTGATTCAACATTTCTGGAAGTAACCAACTCAGTATTACTCAGTCAGACTCTTTGGGAATGCGTTATTTTGTGGGAATTTGTTACTTTGGCAGGAAAGTATTGGTCTGATGTCTCCCCCTGCCCCCGGAGTGCGGTGGCTCTTCATTAGAGAGGGGCCGGCTGAGGACCATGCTTAGCCCCTTGGGCCTCAGCTGAAGGTCTCTACTCCCCCTCATATCCTTCCTAGGTCACGCTCCCAAAATTAAGTGTTTGGACTATTGTTATGTGC